TACGACCTTTCAGCATTATTAAACCATGGTACTCATAGATAAATAATTCAAAAATTATAAAAAAAATTGAATAGCTTCAATTCCATCGATATTTTTTTTTTTGATTTTTCCTTCATGGCGTAATCCCACACTTAATCTAAGCAACGCGAAGCTCTGACCGCTTTCACGGAAATCGATTTTTTAACGATGACGTCATACATGTCCGCCATAAGACCGTGTTACATAAAAAATTTGAAATAAATCGCATTATGCTTTCAAACAGGTAACATTCTAATATTTTCTGGAGAAGTTAAGTACTAGAGATTATATCTATTGATTTAAGAGGACTATTGAAGTGTTCTTTAAGATTTAATCATAAAATCATTCCAAACTTATCGATAGTGTTGCCGGTAGATTTTCCGGCGTAAAAAATTCATTAAAATTAGCGTACAGAAAAAAAAAGTTTCTGGGGCCGTTAAAATGGTCAAACCGTTCACGCCGGGAATAATTAGAATGACCTATATACAGTTATTAATCTGCCTAATATCATCAATATACTAATAATGATATTATGAACATTAAAATTTGCCTCTACGGTTTACATTAAAATTACAAAGAAAGGACATTTAAATAGCAATTATTTTCGTCTTGAGCACAATGAAATCGGACATTCTTATTAATCCAAAAGTTAACTAATATATACATAACATTTACTCATGATACAATAGCACTAATATTTATCATGAATATATGGTTGCGACAATTTAACGAAGGGAAAATCGGTTACCATTCTACTTACAGTTGCATACTAACTGATTGTAAATAGTCGGACATTTAGCGTCGGTTGCACATTTGCGACATTTGTACAAAGTGCGTTGCGACATATAACTGATATTGGTGGTGCCCTAATAACTAATAATGAACTGTACTGAAGTGACGATTAATATGAAGGTATGAAGAAGAGAGTACTGTTAATGTTGAAGATAATTCTTATTCCGTGTTTTATATAATGTACATAAAAACAAAAATATGCCAAAAAAAACTAATTTCATGCTGATTAGGCATCTTACGTAAACAGCTCCTTTGTTGGAGCTATATACAGATATTCCGTGCATATTGTAAATAGTATAAAGGTGCCCGACGAATAATACTGTCAAAGAGCTACATTCTGATCTAATGCGGAGAAAAGGGTCGAAAATAATTTCAAAAGAATTAATTATACGCAAGTTCCAAACAAATGTAAGTAATAAATTTTATGATTGCACGATCAAATCTTTTCTAAATAAGTAAATAATCAATTCCGATATAGAGCTTTCGAAGAAAGTGCTATTTAGTCTATCACCATAACTATAAAACATATTGTTGTAAAGATAACACTTACTCTTGGAAGATGCCGTAGCCACTGACGGCCGTCAAATGATCTTTCTGATTGGTAAATTGGTGGCCACCTCCTCGTGTATGTCACCAGTTTTTTAAATCTGCTTCGATTCCTTATAACCTTACTATCCTAATTGTAATCTACATATTGAAGTTTTAGGACATATTCAGCATTTCATGCATTCCAAAAATTGTTCGCTCCCGACGTCCCTTACGGGGTCGATACTCAATCAGCACGGCAATTAATTAAAACTTCTGATTCTCTCTCTCTTCTTTTCTTAATCTTCAACAGCACTGTCATCTTGAAGCAGGATGTTAAAACTGTCAGAAAGTAAGATTTATTGATTACCTGCTCTATGTATTACAATATAATCTCATACAGCGATCTCGAATTTTTTCATTGTACCTGGGCAACTTCCGCATAAATAGTCATCAAGTTCTCGTGACAACAGATTACTTCCGCTCAACGGTAACCTAGGCGTTGTCAATAGCTGTTGGGAGGCCAAGAACCAACATTCTAGAGCGCACCCTGTTAAACAAAATGTAACAATAATGAAGAGACATAATGTAGTTTTAATCATATTGGCATTTTAAAAATGCCGAAAGAACTTGCTAAAAAAGTGGTTTAGAAATGCATGTTGGTCTTCAGAATATAGATCTGTTACAACCGGCTGACGGTACAGAAGAAAACGGATGCCGGATTGGGATGTTCTGTCTGACTCATTGAATCTTAGTTTTTGTAATCTCACATCTGATTTTATACTGGGTTCAAGTTAAAGAATTTTAAACTTGAACCACAACAGGCAAATTTAGTCTATACAATAACAAATTCTGAAAAACTCATAAAAAATCAAAATATGACAGTTTTGTTTTCCGGCTTAGTGTTAACTAAATAAACTACATTATAAAAAATAATAAATATTGGTAAGTATGTGGTAGTTAGATATTCGCAATAACCAACTACCTTCAGCTGGTAGTTTGGTATCAATCCCACAGAAATTCCAACACAAATAACATATTAAACACAGAATAAAAGAGGACCTTCTGATATTCGTGAATCCCCAACAACCAACCAAAGTAGTTGTATTGAAACATTTATTGTATTTCTTATAAAAACGAAAATAATACAAGTAAAGGAAATTCAGATAAAAGTTAATCTAAATTTGAACAAATGTATTTATTCACCGTCTCCCTATACGACCAGCGAATAGATAATTCTAGCAAATTGTAGCAACTACTTTCTGGTAGGTAAGTTGGATTCACGCAAATAACCAACTGAGTCCTCCTTGGTCGATTTATGTGAAAGGTTATAACCAATCATTATAGAAAAGACTAATCGTCGGGTTAAATAACCGTAACATTGTTTTATAAAACTTATTGTTTCAACAACATAGCCATACTCCGAAATACAACACATTCTATAAGTATTTGGGACGGCGTGAAACTCAACTGATCCCCTGTCGACATTGGGGGGGAAACCATTGCTAGAACATCTAAATCTTTCATATTTCCATATTTCTGAAACTGATTCTGTTTTAGAGAAAACATTAAATTCTAAACCAATACGTTCTGGTTGTAATTTAGGATTCACGCGAAATAACCAAACTGAGTCCCATATTTTTTATTGAAAGGGGGTTTATCAATACTATAGAAACACACATACTTGTTATATAACCGGTAACATCTTGTACAGAAAAACATTGGCGGCGTTCCGTGGTCAGTTGGTTAAAGTCGTTGACTTCAAACCATTTGCTCAACGCTGTGAGTTCGAATCCCGACATCGACTTTTTGGATCTTTCATTAGAACACAACAGCTAGAACTCGGTGTCTACTCAGTCCCCGCTGCCTGAAATAATGCACGAAGGTACGCTGAGTCTAACTCCACGCAGTTAAAGCTGGAACCGTCGCCAATAGTATAGACCCTATAAATGGTTCGGTGTACTTAAACCCAATAAACAAACAAACAGAAACATATTATCTGTTTCAGTAGAAAATATATAGCAATATCCCGAATACCTATCACAGTTGGAATATTAGCGCGAATAAACCACTGTGTCCTCTGTGGACATTGAAGACTATATCTATCTTTAATCATAATATGCCGTTATAATTTATCCGAATAGTACCTGTTTTGAGGTAAAACATAAGTTCAATTACCTAAAACTACCTTCTTAGGTAGCTGTGATTCGGCGCAATAAACCACAGTCCCACTTATCAACTGGCATGACATTTGGAAAATGGCTGTTCAATGAAAACCTCCCGTAACAATTCAAATTGGGGCTATAAACTAATAAAAAACCTGCTTCAATACTACAAACTAGGCACAAATTTGACTGGACCCAATTGTCTTGCAACAACAATGCTCCAGCTAAATTTCCTGTTACCAAAGCAAACGAGGTACCATCTCAAAATTGTCTAATATCTACTTATTTTCTTTGATTTGTTTCCATAAAATAATATTTTGAAATGTGCGCATCACTTCTCAAGGATGAAAAGTCAATTCTTTTAGAGCTTTGGTTTACAGCTTACCTTTTTCTTTTAGATCGATTGGGTCATTTTAAGCCTCTCACAAGTTCCAAAATTTCTTTGCCGCCCCCTTCAAACCCCCCCCCAAACAGAAGGGGGGGGGCACATCCCCCTAACTGCCAACTCCTGATGACGTTTGTTTTGGCCGGCGAAAAAGTGGCACTTTTAAAAAATTCTCAAAACAAAACAATTGGCCTAAATAAAGGCATTCACTCAATTTGAAGAACAACAGAAAAGGGTGATAAAGGCGTTAAAAGGCGGTATATCGCGTAATGGTTAAGAACGTATGATGTTTTCCGGAAAAGTACTTTTTAAGGTAAACATGCACAATCACCAAAACTATTTCTGTACTAGTTGGGGATTCGCGCGAATTTACCAAAACATGCTCCCTTTAATTTTGGAATTTAAAATGTGTTGATTGTCTACAACATTTCATGCCGAGAATAGTGGATTGATGATCACTGTTAAATAGGTGGAAATCAACAAATAAATCAACACAGCTTATATAGTTGTTTATCGATATCCCACTACCAAACCAAATTGGATGTTCATGAAAAACAATTGTAAACTATTTCATTCGTCACAAATGCTGGCAAATCGATTTAAATTAACGTCATCATGTCGAAAACATATAAAAATGAGCAATTAATTCAGCAGGTAGATTTAGGATTACAAGTATGCGTAAATCGATCTATCAGATAAGATCAGTAATCGATCTATCAGTACAATATAGATCATCAAAACATCGATCATTCAATGAACATCGATCAATCAGATATATCGATCTAAACCAGACACACGAATCATCAGGAACAGCGAGCATCAGAACATGATATTCATGAAATCGATCAATCAGACACATCGGACAATCAAGACATCGATCAATCAGAACATCGATTATCATTCAGACACATAAGATCATAAGAACATCGATCGATCAGGAACATCGATCAATCAGACACATCGATCAATCAGGAATATCGATCTATCATGAACATCGATTAATCATAAACATCGATCAATCAGGAACACCGATCAATCAGGAACATCGATCTATCATGAACATCGATCAATCATCGATCATCTTTAACGGACTGCTATTTATAAAAACACATCGTGGCAATGAAATTTCTATTTATACACACCAACAGATTCATTTGACCCAAGGAGACACATCTGTAAGACCTTTCGCTGCAACTTCTTTCTTTTCAAACGTTCATGAGGCGTCTCTGAATGTCGTCTGTAATAAAACAAAAGTTGAATAAGTTAAACCACAGGTGTTCGTCGAGACGCAAAAATAAAAATGATAAAAATATATTTACTAAATATATATGTATCTTTTTTATAATTTACTAAATATATATATGTATCTGTTTTATTTACTAAATATAAATATATAACTATAACAAACAGGTGTTCGGCGTGTTGATTGGTCCCTTCGCCAATAAAAAATATTCATTCATCGTTCATTGACGTTCCATTGTTTTGTTGAATAAAATAGTATACCCTCCAAACTTGGCGCCTTTTGATTGGATAATTGAACACCCGAAAGAAATCGAATTACCGATCCCAGACGGGAATAACACACAAATTTCCCCGTTACCCACTTGAAACAACATGCGCGTGCTGCGCTACGTTTGATTACCGATGTAATCCGATTACAAGGCACTTTAACTGTCAAATGATACATATTTAAATAAAGTAATAGAAACATATTCTCATAAAGGAAAAACAAAATATGTACTTGAAAGCTCGATAATTAATTCCAAATCAGGCCATGTCCAAATGGCCATCCCCCGCCAAATTGTTTGCTCATGAAAATGTATTATTAGTAACAGAATAAATCTATTTTAAGAGGTCTTTTGGTAATGAAAACTGATGGCTATAGTGATTACAAATTCGAAACCTATGTGAATACTGATGAATGAAAATAACAAAGGGCAATTACTGAAAAATAATGCAGGGTAGGTTATCATTCTTGTGTGCTGCATCCAATGGTAGGATACTACGTCATCGCGCACCTGCAAAATGCTCCCACTTGGACCATTTTTTCGTCGACTCGAAGGTAAAATACAATTTTATTATAAGAAAACGTAAGAGTATTAAAAAATCATGTAGCGCACCAAAGAATGGCTATAGTACTTGAGGTAATTGTAAAAAGAGTTTATAGATTCATTGCCTGGTTTAGGCCTGAAAACGGATAAGTGTTTTTTCTCTGAATGCTCCCACTCGACTTCTCCCCGAAACATATAAGAAATAGGTTGAAACCTTCTTGAAATTATTTTTTACGTACCGAATATCAAACCGAGCCATGTTTACACATTTTTCTATATTAGTTTCAATATTTTCTATTTCAAAAGTCAGTTTTTAAAAAGTTTTTTTATAAAAATGAAAATGCTCCCACTCGGACTCGATTTAGAGATGCTCCCACTCGGACCAAAATATATACATTTTGAAAGCACATTGCGGTTAAGCTTTTAGGATTATTCTCACTATTTTAACACCATTTTGTCAATAACTACTGTGTTGGCAACATTAACTTTTCCTTCTTTTACAGAGATCATTCTTTGATTCTGTAGAATGACGTTGTTTGGTAGGAACAAGGTGTCATGGCAAAGTTTCAACTGACAGGATCACTATACAAAAAGGTGCACTGCTTGTGTTGGATCCGAAGGGATAATTTCAAAATTATTACCTAACAACAAAGCTAGGACTATAAGACTTTAAAACGGACAGTTTGGATCTCAAGAATAAAGTTTGTTTTTGATGTTAAAAAATGGTGGTTTTATAAAGAAGCCATTATATCATTGTTTAGTACCAAACTGGATTAAGATTCTGGGTGGCTCGGGGTGCACATATAGAGGCCAGCATTTTATTCATAATTGCGACTAAATACTTGTTAATAATTTTAAAACCCCATTGATGTTGTTTTTTAAATTTTTGTTTTTTTTTAAAAAAACAAATGGACGTTTTTTGAACAAAAGAAGTCAATATCACGGTTTTTTAAATGTTATAAAAACAACATTTAAATTTTTTTTGAACGGTTAAAAATAAATGTATTTCCATACTAGACAAAAGATGCGTCACAATTTTTGACAACTTTTAATATGAAATTTTTCATGTGTACGATTTTTACCTAAATTTCAAAAATTTAAAAAAAAAATAAGAAAACAAGTCAAGTTTTTTCTTTTTCACAGTTTTTCCATATCTTGTAATTAAAATCATAATTATATTAGGTTTTTACCCATTTAAATTTATAATAATAAATATTATAATATAAATATATATATATTATATATATATATATATATATATATATATATATATATATATATATATATATATTAATAATTTATGGTACTAAAACAATTTTAAACATAAAGGAATATGTAAAATAAGTACTGCAAATGCTTGTCCACATTATATGTAATCATTATATATACATGTATGCATAATGCATTCATTTCTTATTGAAGAATTCAACTTACACTTAATAGAAAATATATTTCTTATTACCTCCCTTAATGAAATGTAAATTCGGTATTATCTTTACAAATAATGCTTTTCGGAACATACAATATTGAAAAATCTTCATTGGAGCATTACGTTCATGATATAAAACCATAAAAATGATTTCAGGATATTTAAATGACGTTAAAATAATAACAATAATACAAGAAGGATCACAGACAGCAAAATCCCCCCTCCCCGAAAAGGAGGAAGTACATTTCATAGGGGAAGTAACCCTTACATACGTGTAAAAATTCCAAGTAATGACACTCGTGAAAATTAATGAAATGTTATAGCCTATACATAATAAATCATTACAAAAAAACACTCCCATGAAGAAAAAAAAACAAAGAAAAAACAACAAAGAAGTATTAAGTGAACACTTCTGGTCCTTATGCTCTGCTATTCATTTCTATTAAACATGTTCAATATAAAGTTTCAAGTTTATATCTCAAATACCTTTATAGTGCTGCAAATTCATAGGGTAAAATGACATCGAAGTGGTCTATGTCAGCCAACAGCAAGTTTTATATACCAAATTGTTCGTCTGGGTCTGTAGTTTTCGGAATGAATATTCATTTGGTTCAAGTCCGATGCGTAGCTTAAAAATCCAAGATGGCGTCAAAGATGGCCGCCAAATCCCTAAATATTCTAGAATATTAATATTTGCTCATATCTGTTTCCGCTTTTGTATTTCAAGTGAAATTTTTGCACGGCTGATATCATTTAAAGCGTTTTATACGAAGAGATTTATTTTTTTTTGAGAAAACAGATTGCTTTTTGTTTTTTTTATACGTAAATAAGCAAAATAATGCTTAACATATGGATTTTTGCTATGATACTCTTGTCTTAGCTTAAACAGTGAAATATCTATTACTTATTTTGTTATTCCACTATTGTAATGTATTCATGAGAGTTATGCTTTAATGCATTTATATCATATCTTAAGAAATCTTTCTTTATAATTATGCAGTAAGACATATAAAATGAGATGCGGTACATTAAAATAGTTTTTCAATGTAAGGTTGTAACTGGCACTTATTTGTTCTATCAATTATTTCCCCAAATTTTGTGTTTCTGTCAAATTATAGCTTCTTTAGTGCAGTCCATGTAACGGATTAACATAATAAACCAGGAATATGATAATTTGCTTCTGGTTATTTAAATTAAATGAATTATTGTTTTATTGTTCAAATCGTACCCCACCCACTATGAATAAAAATCTAGAGAATTTCTGACCCCTCGATTATACTGATTATATGGAATGACAATATTTACTTAAGTTAATAAACATAAGGTGATTTTCAAAGTGTGGTGCTATTACAGGTATCCTGTCAGATCTAAAAATCTGTTCAAAAATGTGTTACCAATTCAATAAGCATGATTTTGTTGTAAGTTCACCTAAGGATTTGAAAAGTACAATGTATGCAAAACAACCTCTGTTCATTTATTTATATGTTACACACCTTTTTTGTCAAATGAAATGTAATTTATTTTGTTTAAAGTTTCTTAAATTGACAAAACAGTCATTTAAAAAGTTTGATATTTTTTCTACATGGATCATTACTCTGTTGACCGTCTGTTTCATGAAAGATGCATAGTAGTCGGATAAAACATAATGTTTATATGAAAATCGTTCAGCTTGGCATTATAATTGTGTTTGTGTTCTTTAAATTCCTTCTATTGTGGTTCTATTATCCTTTTTAAATAGTGTATAATAACCCTTTGGATAAATAGTGTATAATAACCCTTTGGATATGTTACCTGATTTTAAAGATTATATTTTGACCTTTGATCCCGTTTTAAAAATCCATTTTATTTAGTTTCGCCCATTGTTCTCTATTTCTTGTGGACAATATGTTGTATGTCGTGAAATTGCACGAACATTTTACATTGAAGATACCATGATCACTTTCGTATGAATACATCTATGGACGTGTCTTCACTTCCTTTAAGTGTACCAGTTTATGTAAAATTGAGAATTCTGCTTAAGCCGGTGCTAGGGGGTGTGGATGGTAACTTGCAATTACCACTACCGGTATGTTCCTATATGACGACATAGTGTAAATAAAATAAATCCCCGCCAAGTAAAATTCTAACAATTGTTATGGTTACATGAGACGAAATAAATAAAATACATACATAGTCGTGTAAATAGGTACAGCCTTAATTAACATAACCAAAGTACTCGGTGCCTTAAAGGAAGGCAGAGCAACAAGAACACCACTTACCAAGACAGAAGACAAAATTAAAACAATTAAAAACGCACAAAACGTCAAAAATGAAAATGTTGCAGACTCGGTTCATGAACGGCACTGTCGAGTGCAAACTACAGTACACCCCCTCCCCCCTCTAGCACCGAATTAAGCAGAATTCAACATTTAATCATGGTTATGGTGAACTTTTGGATTTAAAAACAACCGCAGACGCGCTTATAATGTGGTTATCATGGAACCTTCAATGTGACACGTTAGTGTCATTCCATAAAAAGCGGCGTATGGTCCCCAAGTACAAGAATGTGTGTGCCCTAAACAAGAAAACAATGAGCGGAACTAAATAAAATGGAATTTTGAAAGGGGATCAGAGGTTATGAAGCATGCATGCCACAGATAAGCTGTCATCTCCACATAAATCAGGCCTGCTTATACCTAGACGTAAAAGAGTTTTTAAAGTACAATTAAATTTTAAATATATCTGAATTACGACGACAGAAATATTTACGTAATTTAT